TTGTTCTATTTTTTGGCTCTCTGCTGGTATCGACTACTGCCGGTCCCGTCGAAAAAGCCGCTGCTCATAGTGCAACAAATCCCAAAAATTCAAGCATCAGTGCTCATAGTGCAGCAAATCCTACAAACAAAGATAACCAAGCTGCAATGCATGATCTGGCAGCAATTCTAACTGTACTGACATTTCCAAATAATGTTTATGACAAGCGGATACAAGCTGATAATTCAAATCCAAAACTCATTTCACTGAAAACACATTCCGGAAATGTGATGGGAAATAGAAATAACACGATGAATGTGGCTAACGTAACTGCTGCTATCATGGTCACTTTCGCATTTCCGAACACTTCTCAACGATCTGCATCTGCACATTCGGAAGAACATTAAAGAACGAACTTGAAAAATCGACTGATATTTGTATACTGATTGAATTTGTATTACTATGCTCACTTAGTTCGAACTTTTGAAAACTCGTTTTTGCGTAATCGATGTCAAAAGTGAGGATCTTCAACACATTCGCTCTCTGTGGAAGGCGAAGGCGTCTGAAAAGTAGCTTGAGAGGCAAAAACCCAGCAGCCACCGCTTATTGGCAGGGACTCTCGCTGTTCTTTAATAGTTTTTTTAAAATTATCAGTTTCCTCTAATTTTGTATGAATCTAGGCTGCACAACACCTAACTTGCCGACACGATCATACTTTTTTACACTAAACTTGCAAGTTCCTAACAGAAGAATTGGTCATTGCGCTGTAGTTTAACACATGGAATCATCTTGGCTGCATTTTGGCCTTTTCCTGCATGCAGGGAAAAAGGGCTTTGGCTGGAACGAAAGTGTTGCTTTTTAGTCTGTATGAGCCTTCAGAGTACACGATTAACAGCTTTTTACATGAAGCCCGGTCGTTTTTTCTGATGAACGTTCGTTCACTGAAAAGATTTAAATTTGTAAAAAATCGAAAGAAGAGGATTATGAAATTTGCGAAATGCACTCACTTCTGAATTTAAGATAAAAATGAATATTTGTCATGTCCTTGGGATTAACCTCCATGTCGAATTAACACCACACATGAATAAGAATGTCATTGCAATGCTTCAGCTTCGCTGTTTGTCCGATAAGCAAAATAGCCACTTCGCTACTGATATCTTTGAAGTGCCCTAAGTCGTAGAGCAAGTGCAAATCGAAGCTCAATTTAGGTATGCGATATTTCACATTAATATCATATGTTCTGAAAAAATTTCAACTACTGCTTTTCGACGAAGTTTTCGAGCTAACACAGTACCAATTGCAAACTTTGACACGACCGTACGCGCAGTGTAGATGTGCGCGGTAGCTGAATTTGAAATCATTATCCCGCATATGGACAGACAATATCCCTGCAGGTTCACCTCCCTATCTTGTCTGGCTCCCAAAATGGCCAAAGAAATTTGCATATTTTTTGGGGGATCCATGTAGGAGGTCTATTCGCAGTCACTTTGGTCCCAAAACAACTCTCGAGAGAGCGGCTTTGTTGGCAACAGACTATCGATCTAAGGGTTTTTGATTTCGTTTTTTTTTTCTTTTTTTTAGGGAATTCGACTGTTCCAAACTGGTGCTGCCTGGCGATATTTGGCAATAAATTTTCTGATTTTGAAATTCCCACCCATTTGAACTATTATATTATGTGCGTTCTGATTGTGCGAAATTTGTTTCGGGCCTTCCTTATTGGCGAAATCCATCTATGCTCGTGTGCACCCGTATTTTCAATCACATTTCACACTAAATAAGCAGGAAAAATGGGGACTAGCAATTGTAAATTTATCAGCATTCTAGAATCGTCAGCTAATAGATGAAAACAGACAGTAGACTGACTTATCCTTC